ATTCTTACAAGCTTTTGCTGTAAAGGCGGGGATTGTGAGGGTGTAGCAGAGGCATGACAGGTGGCTGGGTCCAGTAAGTTCTTTCAGTGCCTCAATTGGTAGGTCGTAATAGACTCAAAAAGGTTATGTTCAATAGAATGATGGATTTTCCCAGTCTCCCAGTTTTCAGGGAGTTACTCAGACCAAACCTTTAGTTTTCTTTTTCTTTTTTTCTTTGCCACTTCTAATCCATTGCCAGGCCCACCAGGTTATCCACTCTACAATCTGAACTTGTCCTTCCTACCTCCACTGCCCTCACCTGAGCCAGCGCCCCATGGTCATCTTGGGCCTGGATGCTATAGCAGATCCAAGCATGTGTCTGCAGGACCTCTTACTGCTTCCAGCACATTTATTGTCCACCCAGCACCAGCTTCCTCTCTTTGAACTCATCAGTCTCTATTTCCTTCCCAGCAGGTAGTACCGTCTGTCCTGATTTGGTTTATTTATTTCCTTATCCTACTCACTGTGGTCTTTCCCCCTGTGGAATCCGTACTTCATGAGGGCAGTCACCTCTTGGTGGTGTTTTTATTCCTTAATGTGTCCTCTGCAGTACCTGGCAGGTAATAGTGCCATATAAATGAATGAGTGGACAGACGAGCCCGTGAATGAGGGTGGGTAGTGTTGGACACGTCCTCAGAAAAGGCAGAGGAGAAACAGCAAAAGGTATCATTTCATTTCAGGACTGCGTAACCCAGCTATTCCATTTGGATATGGGTCCTGCCTCATTGTCTGCATTTCCCAAGCACAACTCTGGAGCATTGCACTGAACATTTCCTCCATTACTGCAACCAGCAGGCTTTATTTCCAGAAGTGCTGTTAAAGGAAAAGAATCCTGGAAACCGTTCTCAGACAATATTGACCTGGCTTCCTAGCAAGAAATGCTTGTGACCTTGTGGTCACTGTTACACATATATACACAAACAAATTTCACAATGCATCGCTCTAGAGGTTTTCTATTCTAGTCTGTTCTTTTCAATTCTACTCTGTTCCATTAAAGTGATACTGATTGTAGCTATGACATTAATTTCATGATGTTTCATGGCTCAGTTTGACAGTGTTTGCAGTATGGTATTTTTCCTCGGGAATTCTCAACCTAGCAGAGGATCCAAACTTGAAGTCAATGTCAGGCTGATAAATAAATACCTTAGTACCTGCAGTTCTGGGGTATGTGCACAGACATTGAGCCTGCAGGAGATAGTCCCTGGGTTGAGACCTCTCCAGAGGCCTGGAGGGAAAAATGTTACTTCTACATGTTAGATTTAATTTAGTTGTTGTTATTTAAAAAAAAACCCAGACAAACATTTTCCATTAATCACTTCTGTGTACAATATAGGCTCTTCTCATTTTGTTTTTACTCTTGTGTATTGATTTAAAAAAAAATATTAACAGAGCTGTCTGTTATTCTTTGGGTACTTTTTAATTTAAAAAACATAAAAACTTGGCCTTATCCTTATCTTCTTTCTCATTTTTCCCCCCATCCTATTTTTCTCTGGGGTGGAAAGTACACACACAAAATACATAAGGAAAAAAATATATATAAGTGGACCCCCCCCTTATTATTTTGAATTCCTTAACGCTTAATGGTGCATTCCCCCCCCCGCCCCGCTTTCTGTCTTTCTTGGTACTAGGGATCGAACTCAGGTCCTTGTGCTTACAAGGCAGGGGGCAGAACCACTGAGCTAAATCCCAACCCTAGTTATTTTCATTTTAAAAGGCTGCATATTCTTGTTTTAGATGAGATGCAGGTATTTCTGTAAAAGCTCTGCCTCAAACTTACACATCTGTAATCAAATACGCCCTTCTCTTTCCTATAAGGGACATTCAATGTCATTTTTTTTCTGGCCTTAGAGACTTGAGCACTCTGTCCTTGGATATTTCCATTTTAGAGTTCAAGTAAACCTTTTTTACTATTTGAATCTGTCACATGAAGCCAAAGAGAAAGCTTGACAGTGAGGTAGCCTGCGAGCCTTGGGATGCCCCAAGCTCAGCCGGATTCTTGGCCCTGGAAGATGATCAGAGGCCTTGACGGGATCCCCATGGATGTGTCCCTAAGAGGCATTTTGTTTGTTTTTTCTCTTTGGAATGCTAGCAATTCTGAGTATGAGATATATTGAAATGTGAGTCTGGTTTATTAAAAAAAAAAGTAAACTCACTATAAATTATAAGGCAAAAGGGGTCAAGGTAGGAACCATTTCTTATGATCCAAAGTTTGAGAATATTTCTCCAGCTGATGAGTATTGAGAGTACATTTGGCCGCATGTATTGACCAAATTTGGAATTAAATCTCAGTTTAGTGGTCACCATATGAAGATCTGGTCAAAAGGAAACTTCTAGAAGCAAAAAAAAAAAAAAGTCTTCTAGAAACTTCTAGAGTTTGTTGAGTCAGTGGTGTTGTCTTTCTGAGCAAGGGAGCAGTCACAGTAGCCCGTGCCAGGGGTGTAGGATGCATAGAAGGAAGATTAAGGGAGTGATGGAAATAAAGAATGTTGGACCACTTTATCCTCATTTGCTGGTAACCCCTCCTGTTGGCATTGTTGGAGGAGAACGCCTCACATTGGATTTAATGAGATATTGTCCAGTCCTGCTTCTTCTTTGTTTTTGTCACAGAGGAGATCTTTGTAATGCCACCTGCCTTTCATTGAGTACCTGTAGGTAAGGCCTCATACTTGACTTTTTAACCAGTGAAAGCTGAGACTTTTCTGTGGCACCATGAGTTGTGGCCAAGAGATGCCTGTGTGGCCCCAAATAACCCATTTTCGTTTGGTTACTTCATGGTTTATTCTGTGCAGTTTCTGAATAGTGGCATACCACAATAAATGAGATACTTGGGTCCGGATTAGGAGAAACCACAGTCCAGTTGCTTTGACTTAGGTCTTTTTGGTGTAAGATCAAATTGATACTCTTTAAAGTCACCTTGATAAAAACAAAAGCCTTACAACTGAGATAATCTCACTGTAGAAAGGTTTGCACAGTCAGCTGTGGCCCTTCATGTGGCTTATACCATGCTGGTGTGCATGTGACAAACAGGCCTGTCCCCTGGCTCAGGGCTCCATGGGAGCCTTTGATGCTGGAGTCAGGTCAGCCTCCTGCTGATGGAGGAGGAGCTGGTAGGCTTTGGTGGTTTATTTTACCTTAGCCAAATTTGGTAATTCTTGATCTTCCCAACCTCCCCCTTTTCTTCACTCCTTACCTTTTGACTTTCTTTCAAAAGTGTGCTGCAAAGCTTTTTCTGCAAGAAAAGTAAGAACCAGGGCATTGGTTGCCTGTTTTACTCGGGAAGTCTCATCAGATCCTGTGAACCATTCTGGACTTAAAAATATATGCATAAAGGAAAGGCCACATAGGTGCATTAACTTTTCTTTCTTTCTTTTTTTTTGAGACAGGGTCTCACTATGTAGTTGAGACTGACCTGGAACCCATTATGTAGCCCAGGCTGGTCTCGAACCCACAGCGATCCTCCTGCTGAGTGCTGGGATTACAGGCGTGCACCACCATGCCCAGCTTTGGAGCATTAAATTTTCTAAAGCTGGTATCTTTTAGGTCTTTAACCAGTCAGCTGGTTAAATTTGGAGCATGGTGTTCAACATAAGACAGGTCCACCTGATCCAGACCTGTGTCACGTCAGGCCTCTGCCTGGGGCTGGGTGACTGGCATGGTCCCTTGTGCCAGTCTCTGATGGAGGCTTTGTGCAATTGTATGCCCAGCACACCCCAAACAGTTAATTCCACCTGTGCTGCTGCGTGCTGATGATATTGATAGTATTTTAATGGGTGCTGTGAATGAATAAAGTTTGCAAGAAAAGTGCTTGAACTGATGGCTGAAATATAAAAATTTTTAAAGTTTTGAAAAAGATTTTTAGGAATAATTAATGTTTAATGCTCCTTTCATGGGATCTGCTTGAACACCCACCTCCCCACCTCCAGCCCATGCGAGTGAAATGTTTTTCTTGTTTGCTTTCTAGCCGTTGGAAGACAACATCAGTCTTCCTGTTGTTGTACAGTAGCTGTGAAAATAAGGGAGTATGGCTGAAAGCATGGGGTAGGCGTGGGTTTAGGTAATTTAACTTCTTTTCTTTACAAATCAGTAAATATTTACAAATGACTTTATCAAACAGTTTGGGTACATGCGGTCACTTGAAAGCATGCAGTCAGAGAGTGACTGCCCCTCGGCCTCTTGCCAGTTCCAGTGGGCCCCAGAGGACCTAGGTTTTTTTTTTTTTTTTTTTTTTTTTTAATGTGCTGATTAAGCTAGATGCCTCCAACCAGCCCCAAAGTGGGTCTCTGAGGAAGCTTCCCTCTCTCAATGGAACAGTTATAGAAAATTTGCATTTTAAAGTTTGACTTCTTAAGATTCATTTGTTATAGGCTGGAGCACATTGCTGTGAACTGAGGAATTCAAAAAACAAATATTGAATCCTGGCTTAGGTTTCCCATTGTTGCCTGAGATCCTTTGTTTCTTGGGGAAGATAATTACAGAATTCCATTCCAAGCATAAATGTTCTTTTGTGAGCAAGTTGGAAAAAAGCAAGTGGGTTTTTTTCCATTTTTATAAAATGGTACCAACATAAGGTTGTTTAAAAACATAACTTAAGTTTTAGAGCAGAGATTGAATTTTTGGGGGTATCTCAGCCCTCTTTTTTCTTTAATATTTGCAATCTGACAAAATTAAAGATTTTTAGAAGAGAATACCTGTGTTCTTCAAATTGGAAGCTGAAAGATAAAGGATTCTCATTTTTTGGATAGATTTGATAGAAAGATTATATTATTGTATCAAGATAATTTAGCAAGAACATGTTCATTTGGTCTGTCAAACTTAATATAAGGAAGAATAAAGAGTATGTTATGGTGTTGTATTGTCAGCACAATGTTTAAGTTAACAAATGAGAAGCTTTTAAGAACAATATGGTAACACCATACAACTATTTCTGTATTAATACTTTCCTATTTTAAATTCCTTTGCAGAGTATCGGGAAAGGGTCATTGTGGTGCATAGACCCAGAGTATAGACAAAATCTAATTCAGGCTTTGAAAAAGACACCCTACCACCCACCTCCCACTCCTCAGGCATATCAAAGGTAAGCAATTCAGATTTTTCCTTTTTTGCTCTACTGAAATTGCATTATTTTGGCAGAGACAGGCACTGAAACCAATTTAATAGGCTGTATGAAATTTTTAAAATAACTGCAGCTAAAGGAGAAAGAAATTATGGGTTATTAGGAGGCATATCCATTGTTGTATTTCCTGCAGACCTTACCGCTTCTGCTGCTTCGAAGGGATATGTTTCCAGAAGGCTCCATTGTGGGTAAAATAATGTCTTCCTCGGTAGAGACGTTTACAAAAGCGAGTTGACAGCTTTCATAGCCCTCTGCGTTACCTTTGCTGGAATGAATGTACTAGAGTGTATCAAACAAGTGATTTCGTCTTCCTACACCTGGGCCAGTCTCCACGGATGTTGAGAGAAGTCTTGCTCAGTTGTTGTCATTCCTGGTTTCCATGTAGATGGTGCTCCTGAGTGATAGTTTTGTTGTGGTTACTTGATGTTTGCCTCTTCAAGAACAGCGGAGAACAATGGAGGCCTTTTCCCTCCTCACATGCCCATTTGTTGTGAGACGGTGAGGTCGTGAGTGCCATTTTTACAAATACATAATTGGAGGGTTAAGCAGCTTGTCCCTTTTTAGAAAAGCAATATTAGTGTTAGATTCCAAGAAAGAGCCATAGAACACAGAACCAAATTTAAAAATGGATTTGGTCTATACATTGTGCTTGGATTTGAGGTACATCCCTACCCCAACAAAATTTTAAAAAAAGATGCTTAGAAATATTTCTGTTGTAAATACACAGTTAAGACACAGTATCCTTGGACGACAAGTTCGTGATAATTGGGAATGGCGTGGTATCAGAGATTTCAGGAGTTCTCTAGTCCATTTCTTGGAGATATTTTTCCCCTAAGTCTGATGTTTGTGCTGCAGGAAAGAGCACAGAGTGATTCTCTGAAATGGCATTAATGAAGTTCTTGGGCTTCTCAGTTGAGAAGCATTCCTTCACAGGCCCTAGACAATCAGTCTTCAGCAAGAGACGGGGAGGAACAGCTGGGCTCTGAGTAGACTGCTGTATGTCTGCCTTTGCTAGGCGATTAGCGTGATGGTAGCCATAGCAACCAGAGCATCTCCATAGTAACGCGTAGCCTAGACAGGTGCAGTTGCATCACAAGGCTGTTTGTTGCCTGGCAAAAGGACAGGCCATTAGTACTAAGATATACGCTGTTGCCTTAGAAACAAATAACCCTACATAGCAACTACAGTTGGTTTGCAAGGTTTGGAGAAAAAAAAAAAAAAGGCTGTAGCAGCTTTTGTCTGTGTTCATAAAAATCAGTGGAAGCATACTTTATTTGAAATGACAACTTGAGGTCATATAGCTGTAGGAGATAAAATGGGATTTTCCAAAGCAGCCCAGCTGACATTGTAGAATTGTCCAGAAGGACAGAGCCATATGCTTAGTTGTTTCCCTATAGCTGTAGCCACTCCTAGAATGGAAAAGTACTAGGGTTGGAGTAGAGAATTGTTGATGTGTGAGATTGGTAGGGAACATGACACTGATTGTTGAACTGTTTCCTGGATTCTCGTGTTCCATTGTCATTCTCTTCCCCTGACTCTCCAGACCTCATGGAATATACCTGCCTGCCTTTGCAGTGTGGCCCTTGAAGTGTTTTATATCCCTTTGCTTCTAGCAAGTTAAGTGTTATTCACGGAGTCATATCTGGTTCACTTAGGCCACTATTTTGTTGCCAGATGTGACCCCAAGGGAAACACAGTAATTATTTAATAATTTGAAGGATTATAATAATAATTTGAAGCCCTGGGGTTTGCAAGAAGACTGCATACTCAGATATGAGGTACTGTAAGCTGGCCTTAGCCTAATGACTTCCTTGGATTTTTTTAATATAGCATAAATATGTAGATGAACCAGAGCTTTAATAGTGACAGTAATTTCCAGGGAATACTTCAGATCCTGTCTGTCACCTGCAGTCCCTTTTCTCCCAGTTGACAGAGGTGAGGAAAAGTCTCCATCTCTTGGGTTTCACCTGCGTCAAGGGCACTGGCTGTGGAGTGACAGGTCAGATTGTCTCGTTTCTTTCATGCCTTATCACTACGAGAGCCCCTTTCTTTGCTGGAAACTGTCCTGCTTTCGTGCAAAAACCTAGCATTTGCTTCGGGATCCTCTAGTGTGTGAACTTATTATACTAAATCTACGTGATTATATGGGTGATTATATGGTATTTCTGTGGCTTATGATGATACGATGTTCAGCTCAATTCTAAGCTACTGGCCCACTTGTTGATTGACTCTGGGAAGATGAAAGTGGAACAAAGCAAGTCATTAAATGAGGTACCAAAAAATGCTTAGTTGCCCGAATCTGACTGGTCCACCATGATGCAGGGATCACCTGTCAGCCTTTGTAGGGTTGCTATGAAGGGCTTCTGGGAGGGAAATGCTTGGCTTTCACGGAACTGGTGCTTAGCATGGTAGGAAGGTGGTGATCATACTAGATGGGCAGATATCGCTGCTACTTGTAGGTGTGTGTGGCAAGTAGCACTGAACTGAGCTGCAGGTGTCTGTGAACTGGAGGGAAGACAAGGCATCTGAAAACACTACTCCACGCCGTGTTCACATCCAGTATAGTGCTACATGCTACCGTGGGTTGACTTGTGCCTCTGTTTTTCAATATGCCCTTTTAGATGTTTGTTAGCATGTTACCCTACCCCTGCCTTTTTTTAAAATACCGAATTTGTGAATTGTTTTTAAGTGTAAATTGCTCAGTCACATTAGCCCCTGTGTTAGTTTCCTTGTGCTGCTATAACAGAGTACTGCAGACGAATGACTCAAACAACAGGGATTTATTACCCCCTGGTTCTGGAGGCTAGAAGTTGCAGATAAAGGAGTCGCAGGGCTGGTTTCTTCTGACACTGAGGGATTATCGGGCCCAGTGTCCCCTTGGCTTCCAGTGGCTTGTTGACAATCTTTGGTGCTCTTGGCTTATAGAAGTACTGTCCTCATCTCTCCCTTTACCTTCACATGATGTTTGCTTTCTGTGCTGTCTCTGAACTTGTCCTTCCAGAAAGACATGGGTCATACTGGTTGAGAGATCTGTCTTATTCTAGACCTCATTTTAACTTCTCCAGTGACTTAAGTACTGGCAGATAGGACTTTTAGCATACGAACCTTACGGGGACATAATTCAAGACTTACTCCTCCTCTCTTCTTTAAAGTGAGACACTTTGGTGGTGAAAATATGGAGAAGCAGAAAAAGAATGGTCAAAACACAAAATGATGGGGTATTTCAGAGGGACAAGGGAACCATCCTGAAATTGTTCTCATTAGCCAAGCTGGGACAGTTGGAAAGATGAAGTAAATACTTGTGGCATTATAGTCCAAAGTATCAGGATTTATGAGCCCAGTTTGATGTAAACAAGTGGAAAATGAGAAAAGACAAGTTTCTCAAAGAATTCCATGAAATTTGTGTGGCTATTCCTGGGTTCAGGGTTGGATATAACTACCCACCTCTGAGTGGCTGCACTTAATGACTAAGTGTGAAGTATGAATAGGAATGGGAAGGTAAGTTTGTAGTAGGAAAGCCTGGCAAACACCCCCACCTATCAAAGCTAACATTGTTGGTGACGGAGAGTTGATAGCAGATACCTTTAACATGATGTCACAAGCTTGGCTCATCACTTCCGGGGCTGTGCTACTCAGTTTCCTGTCACCATGACAAAGACCTGAGAAAAATCAACTTGTCAGGAAGAAAGGTTTATATTTTGGCTCCTGTTTTCAGCCTGTGGTCATCAGGTCCTGTCATTTGGGGTCTGTGGCGGTAGAATCTGTCATGATAAGAATACGTGGTGGAGAAGGAGAGGCTGCTCACTTCATGGTGGGTGGGAAGCAAAGAGAGGAGGAGCAGGAGGTCTCAGTATATCCCTTTCAGGGTATGTCCCCCACCGACCCAACTTCCTTCCATGGGTCTCACCTTCCAGTAGTGCCCTAGGCTGACAAGCAAGCCTGTGGCACTCATGGTGCAGCGGGCTCTTTGTTATCATGGAAAGCTCTGAAAGGTTCGCCATCCTGCATGGTTCTTTGGAGGACATAACACTAGTCATCCTTCCCCAAACCTGTAATCTTAGTTTAATGAGTGGGTGAAATGAGTTTATCCTCCAGGACATTGTGTGAAGTGCACGCCCGAGGAGCACTCCTCAAAGCTGTCGTGATTATCACCAACAAGGGAAGACTGAGAACCAGTTAAGGACCAGAGGATGTTCCCTTAAGGAGATGCGATAACTAATGTGATCTGGGAGGGCATGCTGGAATAGAGAAGGACCCTAGAGAAAAACTAGTGAAATATGAATAAATTGTGTGGTTTAGTTCAAAGTAATGTGCCGGCATTGGGTCTTTAGTTATGTGGGAACTCTCACCCATTCCCCCCCACACCCTGCTGCTATTTTTGTACCTTTTCTGGTTGAAACAACAGCAGTGCAGTTCTTAAAGCACAGACTCATTGAGTTTATCATTTATATCAGTTTTACTTATCCAAACCAGTTTTGGTGTAAGAAAAGTGAAATGTGCTTCACCGAGCTATTGCCTTATTTCTTTTTTGTCTCTCACTGTTCCCATACATTGTAAGAGCTGTCTTTCTGGGCCTCTTGCTTTGACACATTCTTGGTGGGATCTTCTGAGCTACATGAGGGGTATCACAGTGACTGGTGTCCCACAACACCTGGAACTTTATTTTTGTGAAATGCCATTCACCTGGCTGTGTAGAGGCCCCATGGTTAAGCTCAGTGAACTAAGGCCAGATCAAGACCAAATCAGCCAGCGTGAGGACTCTTAAGCCTTTGCCTGGGTCAAGCTTGTCCAGGTCCTAGTCTGAATGTAGATGGGAAAAGAGGAGGGAGAGATGTTTTGGATTCCTCCTCTATACCCCTTCAGAAAAGTCCAATTATTAATTGCTATTTTAATATTTAGCGTGCTACATATGCCCCTCCTTCCTAGATACGGCATTTCTCATCAAAGGTTGCATATTTTTA